TCGCTTGTACTAAAAAGGTAACGTGCGGTAGCTCATCTTCGAATCTCATGATTCTTAAAGAGGAACAAATGGGGGCTATAGTGATGACTCAAGGGACAGAAACAGGCGACGAAGTTATTCACGAGAAATAATAATTACGCCGACCAAATTACATTACCAAAGCTTACAATTCCGGCGAAGTTGGTTTTCTTTAGCAGGTGCTGAGCTGCCTCGCCAACCAAATGTTTGGTATCCATTCCCGCCACCGCCAGGAGCTCCCCGGCCGTCGTCCCACTCCCACCTCCCGAACCCCACCCATTATTTACTTTGCTTGTAGTTGTTGTCATCCCGGACCCATTATTTGTCGTGCTTCTTGTTGGAGACGTATCTCTTGCAGATTTTTGACTGCATGCATACAGCATAGATATAAAGTTAATTAAAGTGAGGAAAACGTAAGATTATTTTCATTATACCTTATAGTAGAAGAACAGAATGTTATGGTTTAATCAGCTCCGCTACAAGTAAACGTACTCGTGACATCGTTGTACGCGTAGCTATACGATCTCGGACACGCCGACTTAAACATCTTCGAGTACACCGACTTAAACATCTCCGAGAACCCCGGCATGGCTACAAAATTGCATAGTACGGTATGCCAAGATCTTGGTTCTTTTTTCATAGTTCCGAGCTCAAAACTCTCTCCCGAAATTAATATAACAGTTTCAACTCTCTCCTCTAAATAATAGTAATTTGTAAAAAAATGCATTGTCTAAAAACAAAGAAATATAATTGCTTGTAAGTTATCAAATTAAGTTTATGGATGTCGGGATCCTATCCAGATCCTTTTAAAAATTATAATAACTTTAACCGCTGAATTAAATTTCAAGAATCCGAATTTATTTATTAGTATAATTTGATGGAAGAGATTCGGAGATCATCTCTTTCCGTTAGCAATATTGGATGATCAACATAATAATGTGGGACCTAGTAAAGCAAAAGCTTTGGAGCAATCGACATTGCTGATACGGTTCCACGTCACAGCTTGCATAGTTAGGGTGGACCGCACTTCCGCCGTGGGACTCCTGTTTTAATTAACAATTTCTTTGCAGTCCGGGCCGCGCTTTTGTCAATGATGTATAAATATATATAACTGAGGAAGAGTGCACCGTAAGTCAGGATGGCCGAGTGGTCTAAGGCGCCAGACTCAAGTTCTGGTCTTCGAAAGAGGGCGTGGGTTCAAATCCCACTTCTGACAAATCAGCTTTTATTTTCTTTTTCAAATTTTTTGCTTCATCGGTATCTGTCAAAATTTGGGGGCCCTCACAGACATAATTCAAAAGAATTACACGAAAGCTTGTAAGTTTGGTAAGTTAATTGGGTATCTGGAACGTCAACAAAGCAAAGCAAAGCACATGTTTCTCTGCCTGGAGCCTCGCTACATTGCATGCATGTGGAAAGAACTTGGTGCTTTTGGTGCAATGACGTGCTTATACTGCTTTTTGTTCAATTGCCTACAAGGATTATTGATGTGGGAGTTTTGATTTGTAGAATATATATAGCTCAAAGAGTACTTTTTCTCTGTTGAATATCGGTGGAATTAATAGGTTTGGCGTTAACACAAACTCGTGTAAAACTCTCTTGCTAGCTATAATCTTGTGTTAGTGTTTCGGGATGCATAGCGAAACCGTTCCATAAAAGTCTTTCTTATCCTGCTAATACTTTGAATATGTACATCACACTAACAACTGGGATCTTACCATTACAAATAGCTTATTAAGAGGAGTGAGTTATAAAACACTGCATGTATCATAGATGATAAGTAAGAGATGGGATTGTGTGATTCAAGGCTGATGATAATCAAAACCCTATCACACCAAACTTTCTGCTTTTATTCTGGGAAAAAAAAAGAAAAAAAAAGGGAATAAATAAAATTTGAGGTTTTGAGACTTTTGACCATGCAAAAGTGCAGAACGTCCAATAGCTTAGCTAGGTTATCCAGTTGGTGGTGGAGGGAACTCTGCACACACACACACACACACACACACACACACACATATATATATATGTATATGTACATATAGATTCTATACGTATGATGATGACATGCAAGAGTGGAATGTCGACGCTGCATGTTCAAAAGGTGCTCGCGAACCCTGAAACATCCCATGTGGAATATTGCCGCATGTGCAAAAATTAACCTGATCACCAGAGAGTTCTTCCCTTATCTTAATTAGAACCCTTTTATTTTGGGATGAGCATGAAATATGTGCAGCACTGCAAGGGGTACTAACTGTTAGCTAGACGATGACTGTTTAGTTTCTACTTTTCAAGCAACTTGACACATTTGCAACGCTGGTCCAATTAAGGCGGCGATCCGTTGCGAGACTGATCGATCGAAACCATGATACGGAAAAATATTTCTTTACTTCCCCCTTGTTTCTGACTTTTAGATTGCTGATCAGTCACTGGATGCTATTGCGGAGGATATAAATCTAGCAGATAGTGTATCTTTTTTTGGTACAATACTTTTTCTCTCCTCTCTTTACTTTAATTGTTCACAAATGGCTGAAGTATAAAAGGGAAAGATCGACTTGTAATAAAGGGCAGCTGACAAAGTGATGACATGTAATGTAGGTGGCATCCAATCCAACCTTTATATCAATAGTCAAACAACCTGCCCTTTAGGTATTGAACTCGTCATTTATGAAAGTCGAACCGAAAATATACACTACGTACAAATGAAGAAGATTATTAAATACCACTAGACTGTAAGCGAGATCCTAGTTTTCTCTTAAATACCACTAGACTGTAAGCGGGGTTTCAAAAGTATGAGATTAGGTTCTGAAGTTGATTTGAGTTAAGTGCATTTTCTGGAAGTTTGCGAGTTGCGTGTTTGGCCCAGCACCACACACTTTGCATATGCTTTTGCTTCATTCATCTTAAATCGGGAAAAAACTAGATTTGCATGTGCTTATAAGTAATTAGACTAACATTTTGGTCTAACATCTCATTCATTGTGACTCCAAATTCAATTATGAGCAATCTCCTTTTTCAAATTTCACAAACCTATAATACAAACAAATTATTAGGAATAATTTTGGCAAGCAAACAACTTGGTAGATATGGTAAAAGCATTCAGGGGTTTGCCAACTTTAAAACAAAGTTTCCCGGCTGCGTTTTGACTAATGAGTATGTTGCACTCGATGGCTTTTCATCATCTCTAAGAGCCCCAACAAGAAGTAGTAGAGTTTAGTTAAACATAATTACCATATATATGACCCATTTAAAGGGGTTCCGGCTTTACTGTTTATGGAGCGAGATAGATATTTAGTGTCTTCGTATTGATTGTTTTGGAGCCACAAAAAATATTTTACTTTGTTATTAATTACACGGTCACAAAACGGTAAATATGAGATGACTATCATATCCGCTTCAAATACTTGTCATGAAACTGGTCCTGCATGAAAGATATATGTTATATTCATGTATACATAAGCTAAGTTGGACCACGCACGCCAGAGTGAAATGAAATATTATTGTGTGGTGTGGTGGTAGAGTGGATAAGGCAGCCAAGCCAATGAGCCATCGTGTGTATGATGGAAGCTGCCATGCCTTGCAGCAGAAGCACCACCACCAAATGAAGGACGTATGTGCGCCGCTTGATACTTGACACCGACCTCCCTTGGCCACTTCGAAACCTCTGACAGCCACCACCTCTCACTACCCACCATATATACAATCTTAACCTTATTATTATCTGCTTACACACTTGACACTTATACTGAACGATCAAATGAGCCGCACTTTACAAAAAGTGAATTTGTATAACCAGACACTTGTTACAATTCAATCCACGAATTTTATTCCAAAAAATCTTTAACACACAAGACATCGGTTATTTGAGGTCAGTTTAAGGTTGTTATACAAACAAGTAATAAACCGTCGAGAGTTCTTCAATACACTTGTGTATTGGATGCACTGATGCATTAAGTGCTGTTAGACAACTAGATTTATTATTGTCATTTGACAATCTTAATTTAGTTTAGTCATTCATATTATTAACTAATAAGTTCTGTGGTATATTTTGATTATGATGAGAAAGTTGGGACACGATCAGTACCCAGTCATCAAACCTTTGCTTCTAAGGATTATGATAACATCAAAATATTAAAACAATGATGATTCAGAGAAAGAGACTGCTAAAATCACTTCTCAAACTCTAAATACAAGGAAAGTGATGAAGGGGTTAGTTATAGAGACCTTCACCATAATTCATGAAATTACAGAGTAATGTTATTCATATCATGTTTTTGTACCACATTTTCATATCATCTTAGGTGGCATTTGATGTGGACAACCACTTCATTTGAATTAATTAGATTTTTAAACTTAGTTCATTATTTAATAAACTAATAATTAAGAAAAACTAGTTAATTAAATGATGATTGTGGTATACGAGAAGTCTTTCTCCTTTATTTCCTTAGGTTTTGAAAATTTTTCAAATGAAGTGGTTGTCCACATCATATGTCACATAAGGTGGTATAGAAGTATGGTATAAAAATATGGTATGAATAGCATTACTCAAAATTAAAAAGCTTTGAATAAGAGTAATGCTATTCATACCACGTTTTTATACCACCTTAGTGGCATCTGATGTGGACAACTACATCATTTGAAAAATTTGCAAAACCAAAGGAAATGAAGGAGACTCCTCGTATACCATAATCATCATTTAATTAACTAGTTTTTCTTAATTATTAGTTTATTAAAGAATGAACTAAATTTAAAAATCTGATTAATTCAAATGATATGGTTGTCCACATCAAATGCCACCTAAAATGGTATGAAAATATGATACAAAAACATAGTATAAATAGCATTACTCGATAATAATCAAAAAGCTTTGTTTACATTATCCTCATCCCATTATTGCTTCATATAATGTCAAATTTAATTAACCCAAAAATATATAAAAAAAAATGCTCCATGACAAAGTGACATCAAATGGAAATAATACAAGCTTAGCAAAAACAAAAACTTCATTATCTTCCTACCAAATTAGGCAGTTAATATAAAGAATTGGATGACGAAAAAAAGTCTAATAATAATATTTCCATAAACTAATAACCTAATAATCTAACAATCTAATCTAACATCCGTACAACTTGCCACTTTGCTGATGGGTGGGTGGGCTTTTCCCATCACATGACTCCAATCCACGTAACCAAGGCCATGTATGTGGGTCCACCATCCAAAATTCACATGGCCCAAAAAGGTAAAAATAGTTGAACGGTCCATGACCCCTATATTGGGCCCATTTTGTTGGACTCACATGGGCCCACCCCCGACAAAGAGTCCGTTAGAACAAGAGCGGCCATAGCAACCCAATGACTGCGACGACGCCAACCGCACTCGTCACACGTGTTTCGAATGCGTGAAAGGAAGCAGCCGACGATGGATAGAAGTAGGAGCCCTCGTACTCCATCGTGTTGTTTATCTCCTGCGGCGAGGTTGAGGTGGTTGTCGGCGTTGCTGACGGTGTAGCTGTAGGCTGCGGCTGTGTGCTGTCCTGTGATGCTTTCTGGCTGTAAAATAAAAATGCACAATTATTTTCAGAGTCAGTACATTTACCGTTACAAAAATAATAACCATGAAAAAGTAAATTGACCGTTGCAATAAATGATGTGACAAGTATTTAGTGCGTGTGCGTGTGTGATGAGTATTATTTAAGAAAGGAATCGGATCTCTAGATTCCGAAGAGCATCGGGATCTGCGTTTTGCTCCGGCATTGGAGACCGCATGTGGAATTCCAAATGGAGCAGCCTGGAATTCTAAGTGCACCACTCTATCACTTGTTTTTGAAAAGACCGTTTTGCCCTTCAGCTGTTTAATCCAGTTGGGCCGCTAATTATTATTTGTCTATAATGAAACTATTAGATTTATGCAGAGAAGGCTTTCATGAAAATAATGACGTGAAGTTTAGTTAATCAGGTAATCATGATATGCATTGTTGGTAACGTGTCAGCTGGAGAGCCGTCTGTTTGTTAGTGCCCACTATCAACAACGACAAATAACCTTTTGGATATTCCGTTGAGTTTTGGCCAGGCGTAACGGACAAAAACTGACACTAGAAAGTAAAAAACGTAAAAGGAATTCACCCTCAACGTTCCAATTGACAGGCTTTTTACGAACCAAATTGTGAGAACGAAACTACCCTTATAACGGTCGAAAAGGGAGGGAAGCAGAATGTAAAGGATAATTCTGTAAATTTACCTGGTGCTGGGCGCTGGGCAGAAGGTGATGGTGTAGTCGCCACCGGCACATGTGAAGGTGCTGGTCTTGTCGTCGTACGCGTAACTGTATGCGTGCGGGCACGCGCTCTTGAAAATCTGAGAGTATTGAGATGGCTTGCAAGTGTCAGGTGAACCGTACTCGCCGCTGCAACAGTACTGCGGCTGGCCGAACGCCTCGCACGCGCTCTTGCACGCGACTCCTTCAGCTCCGTCGGCGCTGGTGACCTTGAGCTCGGAAGGACAGCGGATGTTGAGGTCGACAACGCAGCCGGTGTTCGTGCAGTTGGTCCCAGTGCCGCCATTGGGGACCACCAGCATAGGGAGGTTGTACCCGTCCACAAGGCTGACGTCGAAGAAATCGAGGCCGCCGGCGCCGTCGAGTGTGAACTCAGCGAGAGTGGCTGGCGGGGCGGCACCGCTGCCGGAGCATTCTAGTTTTCCAGAGCCGCAATCGCCGGTGAGGCAAGAGAATTTGCCGGCGGAGTCGTGGGAGCAGAGGGTTCGGCCCCAGAAGCGGCCACCCCAGGATGCGGGGGCGGAGATAATTTTCGTTTCGCCCTTTGCGAGGGCGAAGCCTGTGGTCGGAAGAGGTGAGACGCCGGCGTTGGAGAGAATGCCCGGCCACACTGTGTAGTCGCACTTGTTTTGCAATGTGAATGTCCTTGAAACAACTCCTGCAAGTTAATTAGACAGAGCAAAATTAGTGCACTAATCTACACAAGATAAAACAAAACCGGACCCAGAATCTTAAAGAATGTTGGGAATTTAAGTGGAAGTAGAGATTATTACCTGATGTTAGTAGCCCGAGGATGGTTAGTAGAGAAACTAATAATGATGGTAATCGAGCCATGGACTCAGAGGTGAATGTTTTCGTATGGAAGCTGGGATTTGCAGAGAGAGAGGGGAGAGAAAGGACAGAGAGCAGAGAAGAGAGGGTGTGTGAGATTTCCTGAAAAGGTGGGAGGGAAGAGTATTTATACAAGAAAGGGGAAGAGCTTGCGTCTTGCCATTCCATATTGGAAAAGGAAAAGCTCTGTTTTTCTTTTCCCTTTTCTTCTATAAGAGCAATATTGGAATAGGAAAAGCTCTGTTTTTGTTTTTTTTTTTTTTTTTTCCAAGAATCAGTTGGAAAATCAATTTAAATTGGGAATGTATAATTTTTTTTGTTGTCAGCTAGGAATGTTTAATTAAGAGAGTGAATATATTAAGACAGACGTTGAAAAGGGTAAGTTTTTCTCTCATGTCAAAATGGGTAACCAGTCCAAAAGATTTGATGCTTAAATTTGCCACACTTTTCTGAAATGATACATACTCTCTGGTTAAAACTTATGTCTAATTTGTTTCTCATTTTTTTCTTTCAAGAAAGCGATTTTTACATTACTTATACTACAGTTTAGTGATATTAAGTGAGAGATCTTAGTGTAAATACATTATTGTATTGAAAAAAAAATATCTTTTACATTCATGTTTTACTCATTCTGGTATTCTGCACTTCTCCATTAATTTATGTCTATTGATTTAAAAAAAAAAATTATTTATTCAATGGAAATAATAGAAAGAAAAAAAAGTTCATGAAGAGAAAACGAGAATGCAAAAATCACTATCCTTATTTTACGAGTAACAACTAGACAACAACTAAAACATGTGTATGTTTACATTTGAGAACTTAGAGCTTATGGTTTATATCTTGAAAATAGTGCACAGGATAATATGGATCAATGAAAGTGAATTTTAGGTGATTGGCGTGTGTGATGAAGTCTATTGATATGTCAATTTTATTGCTATTAATTTCAAAGGTTGTTCCACCATACTCTTGTTGTAGAATTTCCTGGTTTCCTATATCGATAAAACTTATGCAACATGCAAAAGAGAATCTGAAAAGTACGATGAAGACAAGCAACTTGGGGGGGGGGGGGGGGGGGGGGAGTTTCAGAACTGTCGCTGGTCTTGGGTGCCCAGATCAACTAATGGTGCGGCGCATGAACTTGCGTCGGTTGGTTTTTCGGAGATGTGTGATGTTGTTTGGGTCGATCGGCCCCCATCTTCGTTGATCTTTGTTTTGAACAATGATGGTCTGCCATGTCCACATTAAGTTGGTTGTGGTGGTGTTTGGGGTGACGCTTTCACTCGGTGGAGGGGTCTTTATGTCCTACCCCTGTTCACTACTTGTATGTTTCCCTGGTGTTTGCCTCTCTGTAGGCTTCAAGTAATTCATTATCGTTTGCTTTCAAAAAAAAAAAAATATAAAGTATTAAAAATCCACAATAAAATGTTCATGCGCACCAGAATAAGCGCAAAATTTTTTATGTAACTGGTTAACTATCACTTTCTATCGATATCTCACATCACACGTATAACATGATGTGAGGGATAATCAAGTACAAAACTATTGCATGTACTCAATTATTATCACCTCATTTTCTATTCTACTTTAGGTTTTACATCTCATGAGTTACGCTCCAGATCGATAAGATGACATATATAGATAAGATGATATAGATATATATATGTATAACTAGAATATGAAATATTAGTCAATAGTTAGACCTAGGTAGATCCCAATAGTATTTTATATTCCCCCATTTTACCTTGTAGAATCTCATAATTAGCAACATAGATGGCTACAAAACAATATTATATTGTTTTCTACTTCTTAACTTGACTGCGGGTTCATCTTCCATCTTTAACTTGTCTGCGGGTTCACCTTGAAAGGTTAGCTTCAACTTCCCTACGACTCTTTCTTAAACAACCTATATATATATATATATATATATATAATCTATAATCTTTGAACTACCACAATAATTTTGAAAGAATTTGATACTGTTCCCCTGAAAACAGTTGAAGAATTCAGTCATACGAGGCCTCGTGATCGGTTGGTAGGTTAGGTTTTACAATCTTTCCGCCTATTGGCCATGGTGTCAACCTCACTCAAGGCACCCATTATTCAACGCCGGAGACGGCAGACAACCACACACTTCGGCTTTTAAGCATCCCTTACTTTGATTCTTGAACAACTTTGTCCTCTTTCCTTGAGCGTTTCCGCGCGTTGACTCTAATTTGATGCCAGTTTTACATTTTAAATAAAAAATAAAATCACAATTTTTGCATAGAACGACAGCTTAACGTATTGAATTTGCGCCATGGACGAATAGAAGCATCATAACAAGTTTTATATTTTGAATTTTACATTAGTGTTATGTGAATCAAATATTCCTACAGATAGTCTTGAACAATTAATTTGTTAATTTAGTTTAGTGTGGTAGTATTATCTCATCTAATTGTCCCCTTACACCAACACCACCACACGTGCTGCTCTATTCTCATGCTCGTGTATTGTTTTGGCGTCAACAATTAATAATGTTCAACATGTGTTTGGGAAGGCTTGAGCTCGTGGGTTCATCACGGCAACTTCAAATGCAAAATACGTACAACGGATTTTTGATAATTTGGGTTGTCTATCTTTTATAGTCCTTAAAAGATCGTTTATGCAAAAATTAACTAATACGTTGTTATCGAGCCCAGACAACGTGAATCTATGCAAGAAAAACTAATTTGCACCGTACAACCAAGAGAAAAAACAACTCTACTCTTTAAGAAATATTACGTAATGACACATAAATAATGATAGAAAAAAAAATATCATATATCAATCTCTAGGCTACGTTTAGCAAGGGAACGAAGGAACCTGGTGAGTGCCTTTTCAGCCCTCACTCTTGCTGCATCAATCTTTACCTGTATTTTCCTCCGAATCAACCTTCTGTTCCAATCTAGAATGCACACTTCGGACAAGTTTCCTTAGTTCCTGTCAAGTGAAGCTAGCATTAGCAACACAGAGCAAGAAACAGAACACTATGCTCCCTCAGGACAAGGGAAGAATCGGCATGAGAGTTAATCGACTGACTCAAGTGAATATGAACTGGCCGGGCTTTTAAGACCAGCCCTCACGAAGGACCTTTCATCGGGAAATCAACAGTGTCACTTAACCAGACCATCCACTCCATTAAGGATGTGGTGGAAAAACAAAAGTGCAAGTGACCTAGGCAGCAATGGAACTACTTAGGAAGCATGTTGACTGCTTAAACACATTATTTGACATTGAAGATACTTATGTTGAGATGGAATTTAACTTACCTGACGGTCAAACTCAACACTCGAAATTGAATAAACTTCATTGGTGACCTTAATGTCCTTACTGACCAGACCATCAAACCATCTGGTTGCTTCATCAATGTGAGAACCCTGCATTCGATGCTCAATTAATCAGATGAAATATGTCCATAAAACTTACCGAACCTTCAGCAATCTTTCTCGCACAGTTTCAAGCAAGGTAATTGTAACGTACCTCTTCTTCCTCCTCATAATCAGTTTCTTCTGCTTCTTCTGCATCGGCAACATCATCAACTCCCAATGTCTCCGGACCTGACAAAGCTTGCAGCTTACTTTCGTCACTGTCTTTCGTAGCCTGAATCAAAGCATCCATCAAGTCGACCTCCACATCCCGCAGCAGTTTCCCTTAACACGAATAGAACACATCCTTGTAAGATAAGATCACAAATTCACAATGCATACACAAAATGTAAGCAATGATGAAATTAAACAGATTCCAACCAGGGCACAAAGCTGTTGAATCACATACCAATATAATTGAACTGCCTTCGCTTCCCTTCTCGAACATCCGATCCTAGTTTCTGCGGCATTAACACAAACACCTTAGCTGCAACAGTTGACATCAATAGCTAACACTTGTTTGAACAGAAAAGAATAAACTAATCAAGCACCTTCACTAGAATCACAGCATCCAACACGTCCTGGTCCAGAGAAGCTACTCTGCATCCCCGTCAAATTACATAACTCCAAATTACTAAACTTACTGGAACTTTTATACGAAATTTGAAGTTTTAGGGGATAAACCTGACAATGCGTTTGATTTGAGGGGTGGAGAAGGAGGCGAGGTCCATAGCCCAACGGACGGCGCGTCTGGCGTGGCGCTTCAACTCGTTTCGGCTCTTGTACGTGACTGCATCCGAATCCGAACCCGAACCCGAACTGGCGGTGCTGTTGGCATCTTGGTAGTCGGACCATCTGAGCCCGCGTAATAGTTTATGGACGCCGCGAGTGGACAGGTGGATGGTGGTCAAAGAGGGACAACGGGAGTTGGTTCTGGTGGTGACTGGAAGTAGGGGGGAGTAGAGAAGGTGGTGGAAGGCGGCGTTTGAGCAGCAATGCTGCTGCCACATCGGCCATTGCCTCAGAAGCCGTCCCGCGTGAGCAGCCATCGCCTCTCTTTCCCCTCTCTCAGGTTATTTGCTAAAAGCCCATACCACACTGACATACATTTTCTTTCTTTCCTTATTTGTAAAACGTTAAGGAGACAAGGCCCAGGCCCATTATTACGGACTTCAAACTGCTCATAGTTGAATTGAGTCCTCTTCAGACTCGGCCCAAATTATTTGGGCTGGTTTGTTTCACTTGCCCACTCAAGTAAAATTAAAATTAAGTGCTTGTTTAGGAGTAGACCTATCAAACAGGTTATGTTTGTAGTGTTCGTATTATTTTCATGTCATATTTATTATCTTAACGAATTACATCGTGTCTAAACTGTTATCTAACGGTTTATGACAAGCATTTGAATAATTTGTGGGCATTTATAGGTCCCCAAAAAATTTATGGAGTCTCAAACTTGGATTGTGAATTGCTACTTAGAAAAGATAAGTATTTACATTATATCCAATAAAATATTCATCTTCAACAATTAGATCTTACAATTCGTTACAAACTGACATGAAATTGGAGGGATATAATTTCCCATAACTTTTCAGGCTGTAAAATTGGCGCCTGCAGCTTACAATATTCCAAGGATGATCTAGCTAGACATTGATCACTGTATCTATATAGGTACACGCGAACACACTTGCTAGTAGATAGCACTTCGTCCAAGACAGGCATGTGGCAGTGCAGTAGGTTTTCCTAATGACACTAATTAGGGTTGACTAATGTTATTCATACCATGTTTTTGTACCACATTTTCATACCACAAGTGGTATATCAAATGATGCGGCTGTCATGCCCCATAAGTGGTATAGAAATGTGATATAAAAACATGGTATAAAAAACATTACTCTTAACAATTCAATTAGCTTAATTAGCTTGTTTAATTACAGAAATGATCCGAATATGTCCCGAGTGAAATGTCTGTAAATCTACCAGCACTGGTCGGTTTCCCATCTCCGGCCAGTCGACATTGTGGTAGCGTAAGCGTATGATGAAGCCACGCCCGTACGCGGCCGTCCGATCAACATCTTCCGGTCGTAATCGGCGCGTTTTTGGGCGTCGGAGAGAGTGGAGTAAGCTTCATGGACTTTCATGAACTCGTCGGCCGAAGATTTCGCAACGTCCGGGTGCACAACTCTCGCTAATTTACGGTACGCCGACTTTATCTCCTGACACGTGGCGCCGGCGTGAATCCCGAGCACCTCGTAGAGTGAAGAGCTTGCTCCAATACGGGAGCGCGGCTTGTCGACCGTCGATGAGCACGAGGCGGAGACGCGGTAGCTGACGGAGAAGGGAGGGGCGCGTGGGCCGCCGTTGACGACGGAGAAAAAACGGGAAGAGGAGCAAGTGAAGGATGAGGAGGATATGGAAGCCATTTTTGAGATTGTTGTTTGCTTTGAACTTTGGTAGTGAGATGGATTTGTGGTGGGGTGGGAGTTTGAGGATTTTATAGGCAGTTGGGGATAAGATGCGAAACATGGTTAACCGTGGTTAAAAGTGGGGGATTGGGTTAACGGACTCTGAGGCTTATCCATTGGGAAAATGCCTGACTCAGCGTGGACGTCGGTGTCCAATGTCCAAAAATCTGACACAGCACATGGGTTGGATTTGGGTTGGGTTTTGACTAGATTTTGTATGTACGAGGTTGACAAATGGCAACATGTAATTCGTTGGAACTACGTGGACTTTGATGGGTTAACTATTGGAACCGGATCCCCTCTGAGCATAGGGTGGGGATCCTCTGATCGGATCATCTGAACCTTTTAAATTTGATTTAACGGTTACAAATAAGGAATCTATTAAAAGTTATAATTATTATAGCCGTTAGATTAAATTTGAAGGATTTAGATGGTCCGGTCAAGAGGATCCCCACCCTATGCTCAGGAGGGGATCCGGCTCCTTAACCATTAGCTCATTGGCAATGACACTCTGTCCATCATTTATTTGCCAAGGACGGATGAAAGTAGGGATCAAAGTGGTCCTAAAATCCTTGAAGTTTGAAAAGTCTACATGCCGACGGTTTTACGAGAATTCTTTGAATGTTTGATATATATATTGTTTTGTGCTTACTAAATATTTGTTGTAATGCATGTTAAGGAATATTTTGACGGGCTATGTCAATATCACTTTACAAATTCTCTTTAAAAAGCTTGTATTTAACATGGAACCACCCCCCCAAAAAAAAGCCACTGATTACTATTGCATATTATGTTCTATATTATATTAGGCAAACTCATTAGTTTGTTACTTGTGATTGTAGCAACACAATCGTTCATTCATATCAAAGTTAAATCTCTTATTTAAGAGAGTGTTTATAAAGAGGAAAGTGTAGCCTACTGCCTTTTAGCTCTTATTGTTTGATGTTTCCTGTGTTTTGGAATTGTCGATTCATCTTTATTCTTTCTAAAAAGACAACTTTAAGAGAATCGAAATATGCATGGTTCTCAACTTCTTTTACTAAAATTATACTCAATGAAAAGTAAAATTTGTTTTCTATAAGAGTTATTTAATAGTTTTGATTTCTCCAAAATAGTTGGATTTTATGCAAAAATAGAAATCAATGGAAGAAAACCGATGCGAGACAAGAATAGGGAGGTAAGAAACCTTAATAAAATAAAAATAAGCAATAGCAAAAAAGATAGTCAATAAATTGTCAAGCGAAACAGAAAGTATAGGGAAATATCCAGTTTTTAATATTAAGTATTGACGCGGTTTGTTGAAGGCAACCGCCGGATAGGGAAGCACAGCTGGGATGGCCCACCGCGGTGGAAGCACGAATCTTTGGTTCGCTGGACACGTAAGCGGTGTAAACAACCGGCGACCGTCTTGGCATGTGGGTTACCCACCTGCGGAAGGAACGGCAGGAATTTGGATTTCATTCGGATTCAAATTGTGAAAATCCTATGAACTCTCACATCTTAATAATTTATCGTGTATCGTACAGTTATAAATTATTTGATTTTTATTTAAAATTAAATACAAATAATATCTGATGAAAATTAACTGCACAATATACGATGAACAGTTAGAATGCAGGAATCCTATTACATCCCATTCCGAACGGAAGTATGAGCGCAATAATACCACCAATGACAACTGGCCACGTCGGCTTGAGGAACTCTGTGGTCCCATGAGCAAATGCGACTGATATTATTTAGGTTCATTTGTAGGTAAGGATGGGCAAAAACCGATCAGTTATAGGTAACTGCAGTTACCCGTCTATTTAAATTTCACAATTACGGTCATGGGTAACCGTTTAAATAATTAAACGGCTATGTGTATAACCGTTTACCCGTGAAATTTAAATGGACAGTTATTGGTATTAACCGCGGTTATAAATGGGTACCCGTTTACCCGTTTATTTTAATGCATGTGAAATAAATAAAAAATAAAAAATAAAAACCCTAAACCGTTTATTTTAATAAAAGCACTTTTATTAAAAGTGATTACGAACATAAGTGTGTTTTGGACAAGTTGTGGAAACTTAATTATAAAAGTGAGCAACTGATCATTTGTGTTTTTAATTTTTCCCAAAAGTTCAAGAACTTCATGTGTACATGAGAGGGACAGAGGCATGTGTGTTTTTATCCAAAACTTTCCAGAGAAAGAGGGAGACAGCTACGAGGCAACCTACAACTTCTACTTCGGAGACTATGGCCATATTTCAGTTCAAGGAGCTTAAATGACATACGAGGTCACTTATATGGCCGTGACCGGAGAAGATAGCCTCCAATCAATCTCACTTGCTACACTCTTCTGCTTTATGTATAGATACAGAATATAAGCGCACGCGCGCGCGCACACACACTATGGTCCCATAACAATCCTTCAAATTAACTTTACCAACTAATAAATCGGTAAACGGTTAAAAAGAAGGGGTAAATGGGTAAAAAAATGGCTCAATGGATAAACGAGTAAACGGTTATGGTTAAATGGTACGTGGTTATGCGTATGGTTAACCGTTTATAAACGGTTATGGGTATGGGTATAACCGTTTAGGCAATTACCCAACGGGTAAACGGTTATGCGGGTATGAGTATAAATGATTATAGGTAAATAACCGCAGTTACCTGCCCGCTATAACCATTGCCCATCCCTATCCGTAGGTAAGTGTATCAACAAGGATAAGATATGCGGATAAGTGTATCGACAAGGATAAGATCAAGTTCGTGCCAATGTTCCTACGTATGTGTTTAGGCCTGGGCCCAAAATAATATTATTGGGCCGAGTGTAGATTTATGTTCAGCCTAAAGTTTTTAATATGCTATGGGCTTCCTGGTGGTCCCGAGCCGTTCAGCAAGGATGGTCGAATCTTATCTCAAGAAGGAGTAGTTCGGATAAGTGAACGGGTCGAAAAAGTATTGATACGATAAGAGGTCTTAATGCAACTTGGATTCTCGACCAGCAATGAATACAGCCTAAAAAAAAGGGTGAGTTCAAAGTCCTAATAGGAGTAAGATTGGTCGAAGTGGATTTGGAACAGAACAAGAAGTCCCAATCCAGGTATGATTTTGACTTGATCCCAAGGATGATTTGGTGCTATAAATACAAGACATCATGCAACAATCAAAAAAATTCAGCACACAATTGCTCTGCGTAAACCTCTCAAACAACTTGAGATTTTTCATTTTCTTTTTTGACTTGATCCCAAGGAAGATTTGGTGCTATAAATACAAGACATCATGCAACAATCAGAAAAATTCAACACACAATTGCTCTACGTAAACCTCTTAAACAACTTGAGATTTTTCATTTTCTTTTTCCGCCGACACATCTTCAGTTTGGATAAACAGCATTGTGGAGGCAATCGGTAAACATCTTCAGTTTGGATAAACAGCACTGTGGAGGCAACCGACAAACATCTTCATTTTGGATAAATAGAACTGTTGTCGTAGAATCAATCGACCGAGGTGCATCTTCAGTTTGGATAAACAGCACTGCGTCAAAGCCGACTGGTTATCTATCCAAGTCTCGGTCGAGAAGGGTTTCCGGATCTTTGTGGGCAAATGTCATCTTGTTAACCTTCTCGACGAAGTAAGGTGTTACAAGTTACGACATTCGGCACATTGAACACCAAGTGATTTTATGATTGAATACTCACAAGTGAGTTTCATAGTTCGGCATTCTGACGGCCGAACTACATTTATCATTAAGACATACATTACCTTTGAGTACTTGTGTCTATATAGTCTGGTGTCGATTCGACGTACTTATACACTCACGAATATAATCACTGTGACTGAATCCAGCGCCGACAATTCGTGAACTTCGCAGAATTAGCAGCCTTGTCTTTAAGCTCGAGAATCCAAAGGCCGAAACTTGTTCCTTCCTCGGCCTCAATCGCAAGATAAAGAAGTCAGCAGCGCGCTCAACGCAACATCAACAAATTTTACTCCTCAGCCGACAAGTTGGCACGCCTCGCATTCAACCGAAGGACGTAGTTAGCTTATTAGTTTCTTGCCTGGCGCGCCATGTAGGTTTTGTAATTTTTAGAGTCAACAGTATGATAGGACGAAACGCCACATTAGAAAATGCTGAAAATGACTGGTTATGCTACTAAGGTTGCTATTGATGACCATAAACAAGAATGATAAAGATTCAACGTATACAAATAAGGTACCCATCAAATCTTAACATAAACAAGAATGCATGCATGCATGTGCATGATAGGTGTCGAGTTAACAGAGAAAGGGCGGTGGTGACTCAGACGGAAGCCAAAATCAATGTATATGTTTTGATGAAATTAGATTGATGTATTAAAAAGGGAAGGTGGAATTGCAAGACAGCCAAAGACTACTTTATGCATTTGTGATCTCCAAGCCAAAGATAACCCTAGTTCCCTTCACCATCTCTATGTGACGGAAATTTTTTTCATTATGACCGAAATACTAGGGGTACACCACGTAACGCTTTTTTAACACACTCTGAATCTTGCTCATTTGGACTTTTGAGTACGTGTGCACTTCTTCAATTCAGTTTCTTTAATCTTAATTTGTTCTCTCTCTAGCATTAAGCGGGGACGAGCAGAGAGCTACGTGGGGACGATGTGCCCTGTATTTGCGATGCAAATTAAATTTAGGCGTTGCCGCTTTACATTTTAGAAATCTAGTTGAACTGAGACGTCATGTTATTGAATCACTGCTAGCTCTTTTGACAGTTTCGACTAATCACTGTTAGTTAAGTCGAGAATGATGGCAGTGATTTAGCGAAGCGAAGCACTCAAGTCTCAAGTGAAATACATAAGTACTTCATTTTTATCTCCCTTGACTTCATGACCCCATTGTATGCTAACTTGAAAATGCTCGATCAAATACACTGACATAGATGAGAATTAAAGAGAAATACTAATGAAACTCTTTATAAATTATCTGTCACCTCATATTTTGGATATAACATTTTAGTGTTGATGCGAAAATTAACGTTCAATTGTGAGGTAACAGATAATCATTTAAAACAATTCGCTTAGTATTCCTCAAGAATCAATCATTTGGACACGCTGGCCATTTGTCCACTTCCTTTTTTGTGTTTGCGCTTTCCCTCCTTTTTTGCTAAAAAGAAGGCACCATCAAGATCTTGTGTTTTTCACAGCAAACTTTGCACGGACAACGTACGATGATTGGCTACTTGTACGGAGTAAAACATCATATTTGTGAGTCCAACTTAAGAGGATTTCTGTTTGGGCCTATATATCATGAACTCTAAACAGGTCCAAACAAAACTTAATAATTAATCAGTCTCTGTCCAAGGCTTACAGGGCTGGCCCACCAACACGTTAACACAAGTCAAAGGATGTGGAGGTCGCAAGAGTTTAACCTATGAGAGAACGCACGAAGGCATCCCACATCGACGAGGGAGCACAAGATTAGTTGAAGCGGCGTGTATAACAACACGGGACAGAGGAATTTAGAAGCATGATCCTTCAGGCAGAAACGGGATGTGATGAGTGGTCATAATTCGCAAATAAAAATGCGAGAGATGGGTGTCCGCCCCAAAGCCTGTTACGACAATTGGGCACTCTCCTTATACCATCTGATCCCCAATCTATTTTCTTTGTAACTTTTCCCAAATTTAATTTTCAGTGGTTTCATTTTTCAGTTCAAAAGCCCTCGATTAACGAACCTTTTTTTTAATTGTTTGTTTATTTCTAGTTTAGTTTGATAATTATTGAACAGAATACTAGTTAGTGGTTATATATTCATGCTTTAATATGAACATGTAAAAAATGTGTTACCAAGTAGTGCAAGCTATATATGAATAGCACAATATTAGCCAACACAAACTATATATGAATGACACAATTTTAGCTAACACACATGATCGTGTTTTAGTATCACATCAATTTTTCTTTATATAAAGAGAATTGTTATTAGCACTTCAAAAATCTCATTCTAAACTCTTTCTAAGTGTATTTTTCTTTCTAATTATGAAAAATTTGAAGTGTCAAATTATATTTTTAGAGTGCTAATAACAATTTCCTATATAAATCACTCTCATGAGCTACATAAAAAACTCCTATTTCTCTACAAGTAGCAACCTCCATGTTGATAAAAACAATAATAATAACGGGACCATGGTATACATATTGGTTGTCGTAAGATTAGTTTGATATAACTGATTCAAAACACGAATCTCGAGATTTAAACTAATCTAACAACAATCATTGAGTTTAAGCATCACCCTCTGTTTAGGGGTGAAAAAAATTGCATATACAATAGGCCTATTCTTCTCAAAACTATACACAGAAATATAATATTTGTAAAAGAATTTGATTGAAAACTCGAAAGTAATGACTCACTATATTGAATCTAAGCCGTCCATGACATTCAAGGTATTAATCTTTGGCTGATCCTGATCCAAGTTTTTACCTCTTGAACCCATCTCCCTCGTAGGGGAACTCCCTGTGCTCTTGCTCAAAGCCCAAACTCCTCTTCTTTTCCTTTTGGTAATCGAAAATTCTTGACTTTTACTAATTCCAGGAACCCTTCTCATCCTCCCCATGACCTCGTCTAATAAGTTCTGGTCTTCTTCCGAAAGTTGAATTCTTTGGGACTTGGTGCAGTATGTCTTGGTTAAAAACTGCTGCATCTTGGAGTGAATATCCAACCCTTTGCGAGTTGGAGACCGTGTATGCAAGGGCTTCAAACCATGATCTCCTTGTCTTACAAGGTTGATAAGATGGTGAAGCCATGTCACTAATTCAAGGATGTAGAGATCAGTCTTCTGCTTATCTGCGTGATATAGCGTCTGGAGGCGGATCAGGTTAATTTGTGAGGATTCATTCTTACCAAACTCAGGACTGAAAACAGAAAAACAAACGTTAGAATTGGACTCTATCCCTTCAATTGTATTATATATAGATATATATATATATATATATATATATATATAGAGAGAGAGAGAGAGAGAGAGAGAGAGAGAGAGAGAGAGAGAGAGAGGACTGACCCAGAATTTGCCCATTCTCCAACCCACCCGAAACCTTGATGTGCTCTGCCACAAATTACAACATCAAAAGAACAGAGATTAGTGAATGTAGGACAGTAACGACAATGCATAACAAAATTGTTGGCAGAGTCTGATTTAAAAGAATGAAAACAAACGAAGGCAAAGCTTTGCCAGCAATTTCCGATTAGTATGCTACAGAACATACTTGTTTGTATTTGTGGAAACTGGAACAAGCCACTGGAGAGTCTTTTCCATTTCTTCCTTGACCTGAGGAACACAGAGCTGCAGAAACGCAACATGAAAAAGGATAAGATGATTGGCATGCTGAAGCTCCAAGACAGAAAACCGAAACCATAATGAGGAATCTACAATATAAAATAATGACAAATGTATGTGTAACATGCATTGTGATACCTCTTCCTTGGCATCAAGAGTCAGCAACCGGGATCGTAAAGCTTGTTTAACACTATTTGGCAACCCTTGATATAATGTGTCCCTTGTGTTTGGAGGGAGGGAGGTTGGTCGGGACACCTATTAAGATTAATCATTTGTGAGTACATTTTATTTGCAAATATATACCAAGTATATTAGACACACAATATAATGGAATAGATAATTAAGCTTACAATGTTATCAATTTGGTTGATCATGTTAGCGTAGTGTAGTGCAAGACCAGCTACTCCTAGTCTTTGAGGATCTGTGCTCTTCTCCGCTCTAACCAAAATAACACCTGGAAAAAGCAATTATAATGCACAAGATTAAAATAGCGCATTTTAGAGAGTGCAGGAAATGAAACTGCCAGCTATATCAAAAGTGAGCAAGTGATCTATGGAGTGATAACGCAAGCTCAAGTTGTTCATTAAGTTCCTTTAGGCAGGATGAAGAAAGTTATAATGACCAACTATTCTATATCCACTAAATATTTGATATCGGTGTGAGATGCTGCTCCTACCATTATGTCCAAATGCTTCCAAGATTGCTTGATGTATATAAGTAACAATATCAACAAGTTTCTCGACAATCTGCAAAGAGAAAATGAATTCTAATGAAATCCTATTGTGCCCTGTCGATGGAAAATAATGAATTATCACAGCAACATCTTTCCATTGCCTGCATTGCTCTGAATAATTTTAGCAAATGGTAGCAAAGGATTATGCAATTTGAAAAGCAGTTCACGATAGTACCTCATCCAAAATTTTAGCCCACAGAGATTTCTTTTTCAAGCTACTTACAAGCTTTCTTTGTTGCTTTACATCACTTAGCAACATCATCAGAGTCTCTCCTGAAATTACAAAGAGAAAGTATCCACAAATGTCTTACGATGTTATAAACTAGACTATTCAAATACTCAAAGGATGACACTCACTGAAAATCAAGAACAGAAAGCAAACCAACAACAAAAATCGAATTCCATGCCTAACCTTTTTGAGGGAGATTCAAGGCTTTTGCTTCCTCTAGCTTTCTCTGGTAATCTTGTTCAAATCTGTCCAGTGAATTTAATTCATGATATAATTCCTACAAATGTCAGAAAAAAATTAGTTTCTTCAAGTTGGACTCAAATATATAAAAAGTGTTGGTTACTATGAATCTGCAACTTACAGAAGTATGCTGAGCAAGAGAGGTCAATTCCTGCATTGTCATTTCCGCCTCTGTTCTTAGCTGTTTGTAACCTAAATCATCATCTGAATCTAGTCTGAAAATCAATTTCACCGAATATATTAAAAATGGCAAAAAATCATAAATATAATCGCAGCATAATTCTCATGAATCTACGCACCTTGAGAAGTATCGACCCAGGCTATGCCACTGTGGGTCTTTACACAAGTTTCCAAACCTTATTACTTCACGTGAGAAAACTTCAAGCTCTTCCCTGCAGGTGCGCATGCAACAAAAAAAAAGGTTAAGATAACAAAAGGCAACAAATAGCTTCAACTAAATTCAACCTATTCTCTACAACAACCAACAACCTTTTGTCAGAAGCAGCAATGCGTAGCAACTCCTTCATATCTTTAGAAACTAAGTTTTGTACAGCTTCCGAAGGTAGAACATCTTTCTTTAGGAACTGGATGTTTTTGTCCGATAGAGATTGCAACAAGTTTGCACCTTTTGTGATTGTATTAGCTACTTCAAACGACAATATAGAGATCCTACTGCCTTTAGACGCACCGCCAGTAAGAAATCCGCTATTGACATTCAAATTTGACATGCCACTGCCGAGCGTATCCAAAACCTCTACTGCCCTCTCCAGGCCAACAATGCCAGCCCTTCCTATGAAGGAGTTCTTCGGGGTGACCTGCCATAGAAAACACAAAATTAAAGCAATAATGCCACAATGCTTCTACGATGGCTAAAAGTGTTTTCTGACAACCAAATGCACTTCTGACTACATTTGACATAAAAACTTAAAAGCGTCTATGGGTCGTACAAGTGCTTCACGGAGAAGCATAGAGAAAATACTTCCAAGTGCTTTTCCAGGAAGTACTTGGGTTTTTAATAAAAACTTCGACATGTTTATAGCAAAATCACTTCTAGCAGAAGTGCTTCCAACATTTTCCAAGTTCCAAACAAAAAATACATCGATAAATATTCCCCGAAAACATTCTAGTAACAAATTAAAGTAATCGATACCTTGCTAGTAGCAGTCCTAGCCGGAGTTGAGGGCTTCAATTCGCGGGAAATTGAAGACCGCAGCTCGCCGGAATCGAACCTATTTGGTGTTTTCCAAGGAGCAGTTCCTTCTGAAAACGAGGAATTAGAATTCTCCTTGCTCTTGCCGATGCTCTTCATCGATTTGAGTTTCCCGGAAAATCCCGAACTTTTCCCTCCGTAAATATAGGGATTTTCCTTAGCAGACACCCCGCCCGAGCACATCCCACCCATCGTTTGCCCCAATTCAAAAAACCCACAAGAGCTTTCCAATTGCACCTGAATAAGCAAACAAAACTCAGTTCACAAGCTCCGATTTTCCACCTTAATTTTCTCAGTAACCAAACACCATATTGATTTAAAAAAAAAAAAAAACATAAACCAAGCAACCAACATACCTATTTGCAGAGATGATTCTTGAGAACCCAGTAAATTTCTCAGCAACCAAACAACGTTATCAATTAAAGGAAACAAATGCAGAGAGCCGAAAGGGAAAGAGAGTAGAAATTTTAGAGCCAATATGTTTGACTGAAAAAAAATATGGTGAGAATTTTCTGCGGGATTGATTGATTTTTTTGGGTTGGTGAGGAGGACAGAAAAGGGAATCTAAACGCGTGATTAGGAAGAACCGTAAATCTCGTGGGAAATGGGAATATATTGACTGGTATGAAATTGCGAAAATTGGATTTGAATTTATGGAAAAATTATGGATATGAAATGTGAAATAAACACCCAATTTGATTTTAGTAATGAATGAATGGATGCGTGATTGCCCGCTGGAGGGAAATGTCAAAGTCCCCGCCTACTTTGTCTGTCTGGGTCTTTTTCCTCTGTCTTGGCTGACGTGTCATTGCCATCTTTCTCAATTTACCTCTTTTACTCCGCGACCGCGTTTATTTACGGCTTTAGTAATTGACAGAGGTTTTACGAGACATGTGTCTGGGTTTTGCCTCTTGCGTGGGCAGAGGAAGGCATCGACACCGTCGCCAAGAAAGTGGCTGGGCTCTTTTGGGGGAGGGGGATGAGGTGGCATCAGGGTAGACAGGTGGCCAACATGTCATCAACTTAGTGGGCTCCGCTCAAGCCACGTAGGAGACCTTTTAACAAATTTTGACGGAATTGACGGAATCATGCAAAATGTTCTTCAATTCCGTACTTCCCTCAATCATGTCAAATAAACATGTCACAATCAAAGAAAATTAAACTCGTAAAAACAAAACGTTTGTGGAGGTGGAAGAACACATCACCCATAAGACATTTTTTTTACAGAAATAGTGACTTCCTGTAGTTCTACGTGACTCTATGCAATCTTATTCGCTGGGAAAAAGACATAGTCAGGCAACACTACCGACTATCCTCCCCTAAATATATCACCTTGTGCAATGCATCACTTTGAATGAGTATCAAGATGGTTTGAAAAAATCACACATTAAGACTTTTAAAATTATGTGTAGTAGATTTTTTTACTGTTTTGTAGACGTCTTTACAAAAAATGTTGGGTTGTGAAGACAAATTTGACAATTTCTTGAACCTAAAATTGAAATATTATGGTGACTTAAATATCAATTCACCTTAAATTATTTTAAAGGCAAAGTTTGATTTGTCAACGATTTGATGATTAAGAAGGATTTAATTATAAAAAGTGCCAAAAACATGAAGACAGACGGAAAAGATGTACCCTTTTTAAAAGATGCTAATTGCAATGTTGGACTACAAGTTGGTTTTGAAGTTTGAAGTTTGAATCGAGATTTGGACATGTTTCGGCTTCTTGTTTATGCCTGCATACTTGCCTTGCGTTTACGTTTCCATAATATATTACAATATTTAGGCTATCGACATTTGTCGCAATTTGATTGGTGCTCCATGGAGTACATTTCTCTTTCTTTTTTTAATTTTTTTTTAATTTTTTTGAGTGTTCAATACTGAGACCAAGTAATTAACCTTTTTTTCTTCTTTTTTTTTTAAATTTGATGTCAAGGCAATTATTATTAGTTACGAAGAAAAAAAATTACAAGCAAAAGACCCATAAACGAGAAACATAAACAAGCCAAAAAAGAGCTAACTAGACAAACCAACAAGAACCCAACCAAACAGCTAAGGCCCAAAGACAGAAAAAATACAAAATTGAGAAATCCGCTGCTATTGCCTCTACCAGAACAATGCATCTCGATGTGCACAAATACACACCCATCACCGAACATTTAGTCTTGTAGATTCTCTTATATTTTAAGTTCCTACATGTAGTTTCAACAAAATTAATGATTGCAATATGTGTTAGTTGGAATTAAGAATCCAATAATTTGACTTGAATATTTCGATGGTACGGTATAGTGGAGGGATTTTGGTAGAGTGGAGGCAAAGTAAGGAGAAACTTAGAAATGTCCTACTTCGAAGGAAAGTTGGCTATTTATAGCGAAGTGATGGAGGAGGCAAATTTCCAAATTTCATGGACCACCAAAGAATTTCTCCATACAGTTTGAGAAGGCAGATCATCGGATACTTGCGCAGTTGTATATTGCCAGTCTGAACGAGGCACCATGACATTGTGACAAGTGTTTATGATATCTAATATGAATATGAAATCGTGAGATTTGGGAGGTATGAGCTTCTAACAATCTCTCTAAACAGGTATTAATGTTCGGTGGTCAAGAGGTGAGGAAGATCCGAGCCAACTTGAAGTGCGATACAAAGGTTTATGGCTGTGGATTATTGACGCAATCTTCGGGCATCAGGTCAACCTCGGTGTCCCTGGTGGTATGACTATTTTTTGCCGACTTGGTAGAGGTTCTCTGAAGGGAGAGAGGATCATGACCTGATCTTCTTTGTGAAGATCTCGGGAATCCTTAAATCACATTATTTCATCGTATATCATGGGATCAGTTTTTATCGGGTATTGTTAATATTCAATTTTAAATAAAAAAATTTAGAATTATTTCTGACCGCACGATGTACGATAAATAAATGTGATTGGAGGATCCTCAAGATCCTCGGGCTCTGAAGGTATCTTTGTGGGTCATACTATTCTTGCAGCATACTTTATAGTTTACGCCACTTGAAAACTTGTTAGTAGTAAATCAGCTCAGAAATGTTTCTTTGCTACCTATTCATGGTGAGTAGGATGCTCCGTTGGTCTAAAGCTAAGCTCAACCTCCTCACACAATCAATCATTTTAATAAGTTTGTTTAGTTACAAACTCATACTACTAGACTCGAGAATTGACAAATAAATGTATATATACTAACAGATTGCAAAGATTTATGGTGATTGTATGCTTGATTATTGCGGAGATCCTATGCTTTCTTTTATGCAAATGGCTCTATTATTTTCCTAAAGGCCAATGTTGTCAATTGCCCCAACCTTATGAAAATTATGGAGTAAAAGTGGAAGCGTGCTCAATTCTTGATAAGCTTTTTAGCCAAAACGATCCATGAGATTGACATAACTTCTCACTTTGGTTCTTAAGAGTTGGAACTCGATAGAAATGCCCCTGAGTTTGTCCACTATAAATTATTTTTGTTATTTTGTGAAAATCTTCGTTAAATAAAAATAAAATGACAAGAATATCTTGAATTTTTGTCAAATCATTTTTGCCATTACTTGTTAAATTGAGAGTACTTTTATCATTTTGGTCCTTATTTAACATAATTTTTTCATAAAATGACCAAAATAATTGACGGTGAACAAACTCATATATCACCTCTAACAAGGAGTTATGTCATCAAGACCGTTTTGTGGTTAACAAGCTAAACTACATCGGACTGGAGCTTTAGGAATATCGTTAGATCAAGACCGTTGAGATCTGACACGTGTTGTGATCATTTTCGCCAAACGGCAAACAAACTAGAAGGTACAAATAATCCAGTTATACTTGGCAAATATTGGGTAGGAACGGAGCGCGGGAAGCGAAGTGAAAAGGACGTTTAATATTGGACCCTATGAGCCTAACGTCAACCACGTAAGTCCAAGTCCAACAACTGCCTCGCAGACTAGTACCGGTATATTTTAGTCATCTTTGCTATTTTTTCATGTTTTCTATTTTTAGGAACAGAGTAATTATCATTAGAGTTGTTTGAGATTGCTTTTAGAATGAGTAAACAAAATGCATTTCCAACTAGTTTTGCAAAAATAAAAAATAAAAAGTTTACGAGTTATACAAACGCTTTTTAGTAGGTATATTTTTCGGAATTATATTCAAGTGCTTTTTCTAAAGCAATACTAAATGTGTAAATATAATCGGTCAAGTTATACTTCTGATTACGTTGGATTTGGTAAAACTTAACAGTGCTTCTAGGTTAAAAATTCTTTATGGAGAAGCACTTTCCAGTACCTTTCAACATAAAAAATTTAAAATGTTTGTTAATTTGCAGTAACAGTTTGAAGGCTTTGATTTGGTCAGTGAATGAGTGTCTGGCTTGGTATAGACAGAGAGAGCATGGATATTATTCACGCGCGTCCAATGATTAAGCCAAAAGGGCGAAATGCTCTCTTGTCAATGGTGTCATTGCATACGACTACTCAAAATCTTAATCAATTATTAATTACGACAGAAACAGTGATTAGCATAATTAATACTAGTTTAATGCTCAGTCCACGGTTTGCTTTGATCATCACTTGAGCACCAGCCTCCCTCTGCCGGCACAGCTGCTACCAGCCTACCAGTCTTCCAGCATAAGAACCACCACCAGCCGGCTCTCTCTCCCTCTCCCTCTCCCTCTCCCCCTCTCTCTCTGACTGAGTTTGCTTGAAGAAAACGTGATCATTTTTCTAATGAGGATTTTCTGGAAATGAATCACAAAATAATCACCAACTCCACTTCTGAGGCTACCTAACTTCTTCAATAAGGTAACCATTTTTCCAGAACCCAATCTTCTTTTCTTTTCATTGGTTCTTACATTTTTTTAAGAGAAACGACTGAATTTCTTTTTCGTTCTCCTTTTAGCAACAAGAAGATTGAGTTTCTCGAATGATATATATATAGGGTATATGTATGCATGTATGTATGTATATATGTATGTATATATGTATGTGACGTGCATGGAGTTGTTATAGATGTCTGAGTTATGATCTGGTCATACATTTGATGATTTTGTGATCAAATACAAGAACATAATTATGAACATGTATGTTGGATGGTTTTACATGATTTCCTCGGGTTGATGCTTTCTTTTCTGATTAGGAAAACGATTTCTGCACTCCTTTTTCTTCTTCTGCACTTGTCTCTTTTTTCTAGCTGTAATCAGGGACTTATACAAAGGGAGGGTGCAGAAGGAGAAAACGGAAGTGCATAAATCATTTCGATTCTAATGATTGCGTGAGCTTGTTAAAAGCCGGTGAGGTCGAACTTTAGGTTTTGTTTCAGAGTCAGAAATGGTTGATCAGCTCTACTAGATTACTAGTGGACTTGTGTTTGATTTGAGTTTTGATTTTGTTATTGAAGATTCATGTATTTTTTTCTCAGCAGACGAACGGAACACCGAATTGCAATGAGATGATGAGGTATATAATTTGATGAGATAGTATCATCTCCATAAGTCAAATATGGCGAGAAACTATGGATTTGCAATGGACCAACAGGACATTGTTAGGATCTTAACGACCACAGTTGATGGATTTATCCGGGATCAGCTGATCAACAAGGACCAAAGAGCCCAACACAGGGAACAATGTGCTGAGAGATTGGCAGCACAAGATGGAAGTTGTGACAGAGATACTGAGGTTCGATACTCTGATCAAGCAGTGCTGGCAAATCTG